CCTTGCAAAGGGATGGCTTCTCTGTTGCTGCCGTCAGCCATGAGGATGTCACATTTGGGGTCCTGCTGTCATAACCCCCAGGACCCCAAAGGCAAGGGAAAACAACTTCTATCCAGAATGACCAAGAAAATGGTACTATAATCAGCTATAAGGGTGATTCCTAGAGTCTGAATGCAATAAAAATGCTTAGCACAACTATTGAAGATAATTTTGTTTTTCTTAGATGATTCAAAAAAGCCTCAGACGTATTTCAGGGCTTTGGAATAGTTGTCAGGGACATTTTAGTTCAAATAGAGTTAACTGTGAGTATGGCAAAGGGTACTGGATTTGGAGTCAAAAGATCTAAACCAGGGGTCAGCAAACTATGGCCAAAAGGCCAAATTGAGCCCACTGCCTGTTTTCCTAAATGTGTTTTATTGGAACACATATTGTCTACGGCTGCTTTCATGCCACAATGGCAAGGTTGTCATGACAGAGACCAGAGGACCCACCAATCCTAAGCTACTTACTATCTCACCCTGTATAACAAAAGTTTGCCAATCCCTGATCTAGACTAAGATCCAGCACTATTTTCTCTGATCTTCAGTTTCCACATGAATAAAATGATGATTATCTCTCCCATGGGGTTGTTGTGAGAGTCAAATGTGACAGAATGGGTGGCAAAGCTCTTTGGAAATGCAGAAGACAGGCAGCACCTGATCTGTGCTGGAGGAGAGCTTACCCAGACATCCTTTGTGCTTTCTTTTCCAATCTTTGATGTCCACTTGTCATGTTCCCCCTTTCTCACAAATGGAAAAAGAATTCCCCAGGTATCCCACCTTCCCCCCAAACATAAAGCATTCTTCTAGAAATGGAGGATTGGTACAAACATATGTATCCACTCTTTCGTCCCTCAAATATTTGTTGGGCACCTACTGTGTTCAAGGAAGCAAATTTTTATAAGCTAGTTCTTGTAGGGAGAAATGTTTGGTTTCCAAGGGGAGAAGTTGGTATACAAATTATTACAACAGAACAGAGATGTTGCCATGTCAGAGTAGGAGGACCCATCATGTGTTTGTGTGTGTGCATGTACATATGTGCAGTTTATAAAAACAGAAATATTCAGGTTCAGATTTAAGAAAAGCCTGTGAACCTCTTTAATCTAAAATACACTGAAGTGCCTTAAAGTATAGCCATTATGTATAACTGTTTCCCTTTGGAAACTACATTCTAATTTTAAGTTTCCATCCCAAACTACCAAGAAAGCATTTCCTGCCCATGCATGGTCACTGGGGATCCCTCATCTATGCCTGCTGGACAGGACTATTAAGGAGTGGTAACACATGTCAGGGTGGTTGATCACCTGAGCATCAAGGAGTCAGGTGCTCACTACAGTTTACAAATTTTGGAGGCAGTCTTCATTTTATAATATCATCTGTTCTTTATTGATTTTTTTATTGATGATTCAATAAACATAACTTCAATGATTTAATTGTTTTATTTGACCAACTTGCTATCAGAATAAACTCCTAAATTGAGAACAAAAGTTTAAAAACTTTCTGTTCTAAAAATACTGTTGCTATACCTATCTGGTGAAATCTTACTATTGCTGATAAAGAAAAATGTAGTTATTTGGGAAAAAATAATAAGAGGACCTTATCTATTTCTGGGATGCAGATACGCACACACTTGGCTCTAGGCTCCAGACTGGGTCCCCTGGGCCTTCCCAGCATGATGGCTCTCTTAGTCCCCATGGAAATAGTGTTGGCATTTTTTGTGAATGTGTTTCATCCACATTTTTCCATGTGCATTTAAATATAGGACTGCAAACCCAAAACTCATCAAACAATGTATGTCCATCATACATACAAGTTAAAACATAGAATTCTTCCTCATTTTACTCTCCCCCCTACTAATAATTTTTTAAAGAAATGAGGCTTGGGTTTTTATATTTTCTACCTTGGGATTTAATCCTCTCTAGAGTGTTTTAAAAGAGACTGCTTAGTCTGCTTAGGGGGTGCCTGAGTGGCTCAGTCAGTTAAGAGTCCAACTCTTGATTTCAGCTCAGGTCATGATCTCAGGGCTTGGATCTCAGGGTTCGTGAGATCAAACCCCATTTCAGGCTCTGTGCTGTCAGCGGGGAACCTGCTTGGGATTCTGTCTCTTCTCTCCCTCTGCCCCTTCCTCCATTTGCGCTCGCTTGTGCTCTCTCTCTCTCTCAAAATAAATAAATAAGCATTTTTAAAAAGAGACTGCTTAGTTCCATCAAGTATTTTTTATTGGACTTAGCTGGACTCCTCCTACGTTGGCAAGAAGCACGTGAGGAAGCCATTTGTGAACAAGGTAGCACAGGTAGTTTCATTGTGATGCCAGTTTATCTCATGTCTTTTATTTCCCAGGCAATGTTCTTCACCTCCATTCCCCTCTGCTTGAATGCAGTGTTCTGTTTCAGAGTTTGTACCTCGTTATTTCAGATCAAGGAGAATCTCTAGTCTTTCCCCCCCTCTTCCTTTCTGAAACGATGTTCATCTGGTTTTTAGTTTTTCCCAAAAGCACCTTCATTCCTGATGTTAAGTGCAGTTTCTCTCTAAACCTAGAGCAGGTGATGACAGCACAGTTGTGCTAATTGCAGTCAACCTGAGGTGATGGTGGGTTTGGGACTGATACAAGCAGGTGGGGAGGTATGACACAGCTTGCTGGACAGGAGTCCTTTCCTTCACTTGACCTTCAGAACCTTCCTAGGACCTGAAGCAAGGGTCTAAACCAAAGATAAAATATAGAATGTAAAAACATAGCCGCTGTATTTATTTTAGATTACCATAACTATATGATAATTAGAAAGAAAGATCTAGTGTTATCAGGGAATGTGCACCACTGGTAGGCATGATAAATTTCTCCACATACATTCCATCAGCATGACGAATCATGAACTATTTGGGTTTAGGTTCAGTGTTTGCAGTTAAGTGGTGAGTGTTTTGTCTGTATTTTTTCATATTTCATTTTAATTTTATAAAAATTCAATTTAGCTGGATAGATTGACTGTCTGACTTGTTTCCTAGAACTAGCTAAGGTTTATCATTGAGATTATTGCTTTAAAAATGTCCTTCAAAGCATCTCAACTTGGTGCACAACTGTTTAAAATAAATAATTGTAAGAATATTTTAGTGCTGCAATTTTTAAGCCTTCTCTTATTTACAAGGAAAATAGAACTGATAAATTTGAATGATGAAAATGGATTTAATTAGGTGAATTTAGTTGGGCTTGATGAGGTGGAGCCAAATTTAGGATAATGATATTTTTAAACTAATGCCTCTTGTATTTTAGGATTTGCAAAAGTTTCTCCCAACATGTGGCAGGGTCGTGTAATTCACACACACCTCTCTCTCACACACACACTTTTACTCTTCTGCACACACACACACACACACACACATGTAGAAGGGCCTCAGCAGCTAGAGTGTGTTTAGCATTCGCTCTTCCTCCTTCAGTTACTAATTCTGCCTATAAAGGGTATATCTGGCCAAGTTTGCTCCTGTCTTTCCTGTTATTCCACAACACAGAGGAGTTTTCTAATGGAAAGTATTGTCATTTTGGGTTTTCCATTTTGGGGACAAAAGTGGGCACTGAGCCATTACTCATGATCCTCTTTGCTTGCGTCCTATAAAGGATAACAAAGTCACCCGTTTTCTGATCCAGAACCCAACTTGTTTTCCCAGGTTCCCTCCTACAACCAACACAAACACAGACATTTACCAGCAAAACAGAAGCTGTTGGAAAGATTTTTTGGCTGCTGAAATGGGCTCCTGTCACCAGGACATGGCAGGCTTTTTGCTGTATTGTCTCCCAGCCCTGGCCCGGGTACTCCAGAAAGAGCTTTATGTAATCAGTCTTCCCTGACATGTGACGTCCTGTCATTTTCCTCCCTTTCGGCTCCACTGCCGCCCACAAATCAATAACATTGCTTGGGAAGTTCAAGCTGGTTTTTCAGCCACCCTAAGCTCTGTATTTCTTAAAGGGTATGTCAAAAAATGTAAAGTTTCCTAATGATATTTCTGGCTGATGACACATGGCAGAGCTGATGGACTATTTATAATCAGTGGCACGATCGCAAGCACATTATTTTTATTTCACTTGGGGGGAGCCCTGTCACTTGCTACCTCTCTTTGCAGACAAGTTGATGCCATCTCCACCTAAAGGAGCTAAATCCTCTTTGCAGAATGTGTTTGCACTCTCCCCTTTGTGGTAGGAGCTCCCCAGTTCTTTCTAATAGAACCTCCTCTTTTTTTTAAATTGTTCTCGGGCTGGGAGGGGAGGATGATGAGGGCAACCAATGATTTGTAGCAACTGCTTTAAATTCTGGTCATGCCTTCACTATAAATGTCTCAGTCTTTGCTGCTCAGATCCTGCTACATTCCTCTGAGTGTGGGCGTGGCTGGCATGACTGAGGCAGCAGACACAGCTACCACATTCAGCGCTCGCCCCAGTTTTACAGGACTGAGCATAGCATAGCTGTCTTTCGTTGAGCAGCTACTATATTCTAGGCAATGTACCTGGTAGGCATTTTATACACAGTGTCTCATTAACCCTTTCATAGTTGTCTCTGGCAAGTGCTGTTATCTCCAGAGAAGACACATGGGGGGAAAAAATTGGGACATCCAGTGACTTCTCTCCACAGTCACACTGCCCATAGGAAAAGCCCCATGACTCCAGTTCAGATCTAACAAAGCACACCTGCTCTCGTTCAACTACCTTCTCACCTCTGTCCAATTAAGTGGACACTTGTGTATGTGTGTGGATGTGCAGGGGCACTTACCCATTCCCAACGTGGGCAGCTGCTGGGAGTTCATAGGCTGACCAAAGTGAGAGATGGAAGAATTGGAAACTTCACCTGGGGTAAACCCTGGTGTAAAATAAACCATATACTAGAGGAGGGTTTTGACTCACTGCAATGGGAAGTATTACTGCTGTAAAGATACTGAGCTCTCTCTTTCTCTCTTTCTCTTTTTAAAATGTTTCCACAGGACAGAGTTTAGGGTATGGATTCGTTAACTATATTGATCCAAAGGATGCAGAGAAAGCCATCAATACTTTAAATGGACTCAGACTCCAGACCAAAACCATAAAGGTAAGAAATGATATGCTGTTCTGATTGGGAGGCACTGGTTAAATTTTGTTCCTTTGATCTCATAAATCCAGGCTATCAGGGAGCTGGAAGTGGTGTTCTTTATTTATGCAAAGGACATTTATCATCCACAGTGCTAAGTGGAGGACACAGATCATTACAAAGAATGAGATGTAGGCTGAGTAGAGGGAAGGGACTGGAGGGCAGATGGGGTGTCAGGGCCCGCCAAGAAGGCCTGTGAGCCCAAGCCTGCAAAGATGGCCAGAACTAAGCCATGGGAAGAAGCTGAGCCAGAGAAGCTGTTCCACACAGAGGGAACAGCACATGGGAAGCTGTGAAAATGAACGTAAACATTATGAGTGGGGAACAGCATATAGGATAGCATGGTCTGATTTCGGATGGGAGGTGGGCAGGAGCCTCATGTGGCAGGCTGTAACAGTTTGGCTTTACCTAAAGGGGACAAGGACCCTCCTAACTGTGACTAGAAAAGAAAAAAAATCTGTTATAAATAAACACTAATATAATAGGGATGGGGACTATCAAATTGTTAGGAACACAGTAAAGGAATGACAGAAAAAGTAACATTCGAGCAACTGGAAAATAATTAGAGCTGTAGATAATATCTCAGGTGGGGTTGTTTTAAGTCGAAAAAGAGAAACAGTTACCCAGAGCCTGTTTCTCCAGAGGTTTCTATGACTATGCCGTCACTGTCTCGGTTCAGATTTCCCCTTGTGGAGATCCTTCAGGAGGTGGTGCTGTTTGCTTTGAGGGCCCCCTCTGATAGCTAGTGGTGGTCTCCTGGATGGAGCCTTCTCCTCCTCCTCAGTCTCCCTTCCCCTTCTTCCCCCACCTCCAGGCAGCATCCTGCTTGGGGGCAGCTGCCAGCCCATTAATGAGTCCCATCCTTCATAGCCTATTAAACCACAGGGAGGTGTCTCCTGGGCGCTCTTATCCTCACGACAGCAGGTCTGACGCAAAGTAGGACAAAAGAGAACCTCTCCCAGAATGGAAATCTATAGATGGCACCAGCTCTCAGCGTATGAAAACACAAAAGCAGAACTTTTTAGTTCAACACAGCCAGTTTTCCAACATCAGGACTGACAGAGAGAGACTGTTGGTATAAGATAATTTCAGCTAGGAGGTAATCAAAGCAAAACCAAAACAAAAATCTTCTTTTTTTGGAATATTATTATCCGATTGTCTCCCTTCCTTCCTTCCTTCCTTCCTTCCTTCCTTCCTTCCTTCCTTCCT